ACAACCTGGCAGCCTGCTTGCCAGAACAAGCTCCACAGAGAAAGCAGTAGCACCTGATTCCTCGCATACAGGCTGGAATTCAGTTGAAGCTGCCTTGCCTGACAGGTGCTACTTCCTGATTTAGTGATGACGGCATTCTTCTAGGAAGGCACACAAGGAACCTGAATCTGGGCTTGCCAATTCAATATTTGTTTGCACAGAAATCAACAGAGAACAGAAGGAAATGGGAAGGTCCATTCAGATTACTTATCATTCCGTTCTCAGTGCAACCATAGAATCATAGAATCATAGAATCTTAGGGGCTGGAAGGGACCTCGAGAGATCATCTAGTCCAACCCCCCTGCCAGAGCAGGGTCACCTAGAGTACATCACACAGGAACTCATCCAGGTGGGTTTTGAATGTCTCCAGTGAGGGAGACTCCACAACCTCCCTGGGCAGTCTGTTCCAGTGCTCTGTCACTCTTACAGTAAAAAAATTTTTTCGGATATTCACCTTGAACCTCCTATGCTCCAATTTACACCCATTACCCCTTGTCCTATCACTGGTCATCACTGAGAAAAGCCTAACTCCGTCCCCCTGACACTCACCCCTTACATATTTGTAAACATTGATGAGGTCACCCCTCAGTCTCCTTTTCTCCAAGCTAAAGAGACCCAGCTCCCTCAGCCTTTCCTCATAAGGGAGATGTTCCACTCCCCTAATCATCTTCGTAGCTCTGCGCTGGACTCTTTCGAGCAGTTCCCTGTCCTTTTTGAACTGAGGGGCCCAGAACTGGACACAATACTCCAGATGTGGCCTCACCAATGCAGAATAGAGGGGGAGGAGAACCTCTCTTGACCTACTAACCACACCCTTTCTAATGCACCCCAGGATGCCATTGGCCTTCTTGGCCACAAGGGCACATTGCTGGCTCATGGTCATCCTCCTGTCTACCAGGACCCCCAGGTCTCTTTCACCTACACTACTCTCCAGCAGTTCAGCCCCCAACCTGTACTGGGACATGGTGTTGTTCTTCCCCAAATGTAAAACTCTGCACTTCCCCTTGTTGAATTTCATCATGTTTCTCCCCGCCCAACTCTCCAACCTATCTAAGTCTCTCTGAATGGCAGCACAGCCTTCTGGTGTGTCAGCCACTCCTCCCAGCTTAGTGTCATCAGCAAACTTGCTGAGGGTACATTCTATACCCTCATCCAGGTCGTTGATGAAGATGTTGAACAACACCGGTCCCAGTACCGACCCCTGTGGGACTCCACTAGTCACACACCTCCAACCAGATTCTGCCCCATTGACTACAACTCTCTGACTCCTTCCTTTCAACCAGTTCCTAATCCACCTCACTTCCTGGTCACCAAACCCATACCTGATCAACTTTTCTACAAGGATGCTGTGGGAGACGGTGTCAAATGCTTTACTGAAATCAAGATAAACCACATCTACCGCTCTACCATCATCTATCCACCTAGTAATTTCCTCATAGAAGGCTATGAGGTTAGTCAAACATGATTTACCCTTGATAAAACCATGTTGACTGCTCTTGATGACCCCCATGTCCTTGATGTGCCTGGAGATAGTGCCAAGAACAAGTTGTTCCATCACCTTTCCAGGGATGGAGGTGAGGCTGACCGGTCTATAGTTACCCGGGTCCTCCTTCTTGCCCTTCTTGTAGACTGGAGTGACATTTGCTATCCTCCAGTCCTCAGGCACCTCACCTGTTGCCCATGACTTACTGAAGATGATGGAGAGTGGCCTAGCAATGACCTCCGCCAGCTCCCTCAGCACCCTTGGGTGCATTCCATCTGGACCCATTGATTTATGGATGTCCAGATTACTCAACTGATCCCTAACCCAATCTTCATCTACCATGTCAAACTCTTCCTCTATCTTGACTTCTTCTGGGGCTATATGAATCTGGGGCTCATAGGGAGACCCTGCAGGAGTGAAGACAGAGGCAAAGAAGGCATTCAGCACCTCTGCCTTCTTTATATCCTCTGTCACCAGGGCTCCCACCTCATTCCTCAATGGGCCAATATTGCCTCTAGTGCTAGTTTTGCTAGCTATGTATTTGAAAAAGCCCTTTCTATTATCCTTAACCTGACTTGCAAGGTTAAGTTCCATTTTGGCCTTAGCTTTCCTAATTGCCTCCCTACATCCTCTGACAACAGTCCTATATTCCTCCCAAGTGACCAGCCCCTCCTTCCATGATCTGTAGATTTTCCTTTTCCACTTAAGTTTGCCCAGTAGTTCCTTCTTTAACCATGCAGGTCTCCTAGCACCCTTACTAGATTTCCTAACCATTGGGACGCTCTGATCCTGTGCTTGCAAGAAGTGGTCCTTGAATGTTGACCAGCTATCTTGAGCTCCTTTATCTTCTAGCACCCTATCCAACATTCACCAATGAAACTGTATAGCAGTACAACAGATGTCCAGGTTTACATGCAGCATTTTATAGCATCATCATACTTCCACCTGGAAATCAGCCACAGGCAAAAGTTGAGTTTTTAAAAAAGCACTACTGAACAGACTTGAATCCATAGGACAAGAGACTGTTGCTACCTGGCCAGAGCAGAGACAATACAAACCACTAATGTATCTCTTTTGGAAAGAGAAAACATTAATACTGTAGTTACTGTTCAGCCAACTAACCCATGCTACTGACAGTGTTCATCAGAGTAATATTCTGCAGCAATATTGCATAACTCTTTCCTACTTTTCTGTACCAGTAAGAGATCATCACAGCATGTTGCTGACACATCCTTCTGTGCTGTGATACTCTTTGCCCTGAGCCATTATACATTTTATGTGTCCTAACTTAAATAATTGCAATATAGGTGCCCCTACTTTTCTCTTTCTTTGCTGAACAAGATTGAAAAGATAAAGCAGTTGCCCTTTCTTGAGCAGCTGCTACACTAAACATCACAGGTAGAAAGATAATTCCATACAACTTTTATAGAAGTTAATTACTAAACAAATAATTTTTCCTCCAAATATGAAACATGGATATTAAATAAAAAGGAATTAAGAAGTAACTTTCAAGTACTGTACTGCCCTCTGCAGTCAGTGTTTAAGGTTTGCAAATACATCTGCAAAATAATGAACTTGTGTACATTCCTTACAAAGATCAGTAGGTCAATAATAAAACCTCTGCAAGTTGAGATCGAGCAGAAGTAACATTTTGATGGTATTGTCTTCCTTGTTTGAATCATAGGAGCACAATACAGACACATTTTAATCCTTCATACAAATTACAAATGTTCTGCATATTAAGGGATGCGGAAACGTTTTGTTGCTGTTTCAGAACGGGTCAGGTTTCTCAATGGCATTTAGTCTGTTGGAACTTGATAGAAACATGCAATGCCTGTCTGAAAATTTTTTTAATGGTTACTTCTAAAAAATATCCAAAATAAACTGTATGTTTTAGAAGTTACATTAACTGATTCATCAATGACAGAAATACATTTTACAGTTCAGGTATTGCACTACTTTATTTAACACTACTTATCTTAATAGGTCGTTTTGCTGAGACTGCTACAGCACTAATTTTTCTTGATATGGATACCCATATGGATTGTTGAGTCATTAGAGGACACTCTACAGTTACCCTTGGGAAAGCTGTGGATATTTGCTAAAATGCAACTCCTTTAAAGTCCTTTAAAAAAGGCAAACAACAGGCAAAACAACAAAACAAAACCAAGACAACTAACCTCACCTGCTATATATATCTGTTTCATAACTACCTATACTATACTAGATATGTGTTCAATTTCAGTCAAACAGTAAAAGTTCTTCACTGACTTAATTGCAAGACAACTCGTGAGCAAACTGTACACATATAATGAATCCTCTGGATATTAACATAACTTTGAGTGTCTGTTCAGGTAGGTAGCACTGTAGCACATAATACCTGATGGGACCCCAAAGGCATACAGCACTGCACTACTGCATTCCTGTAAAACACATCACTAGTAACTAAACTGATAGATGTTAGCAAGTTTTTCCTCTGTAATGTGACATTTATCATTCACATTTTAGCCTTCGGAAACTGTGGCAAACACAAGTTACTTACATTGCAGCCAGCTGTCTCCTTATCACTGATTGCATCACATAGACAAAGCTGATCTCTATCAGAACATTTTAATTCCAACTTAATCTACATCTGCTGTTTTTCTTGGATCTGTGAATATAATTTGTAAAAGTAATTATCAAATTTTACAGCCTTTGTCTCCTTCTAAAAGAAAAAAAAGTTGTGATTTATGACAACAGCATGATACATCACCACTAAAATGCAGAAGACCAAAATACATTTTCTACTGCAAACAATGGAAGCAATTAAGGCAAATTAATGTTGTGGGTTTTTTAATCAAGCTTTTGAAGATTCATTCTGCTGCTCTCAACAGAAAGTTTGTGGTACCACAAACGTTCAAGACAGAGTATTAACAGCACTTCGTGGTTTATGGGCCACGATTAAAGGAAACAAGCAGGGCTTCAAAATCCTTCTAGAAAAAGAATTAACAACTGGGGCAACTCGCTGGGGTTTCCCCCCTAGCAAACGCACCAGCTCTGCTGGGTAGGAGAAAGCAAAGCCCCTCAGAGAGCCCCACAGCGCCCTGAGGACGGTTCCGTGGGGCCCATAAACCACGAAGTGCTGTTAATACTCTGTCTTGAACGTTTGTGGTACCACAAACTTTCTGTTGAGAGCAGCAGAATGAATCTTCAAAAGCTTGATTAAAAAACCCACAACATTAATTTGCCTTAATTGCTTCCATTGTTTGCAGTAGAAAATGTATTTTGGTCTTCTGCATTTTAGTGGTGATGTATCATGCTGTTGTCATAAATCACAACTTTTTTTTCTTTTAGAAGGAGACAAAGGCTGTAAAATTTGATAATTACTTTTACAAATTATATTCACAGATCCAAGAAAAACAGCGGCGCGACGAGCGGGGCCGGCGGCGGCTGAGGGGCAGCGAGTGCCGTGTCTGGCCTGCAACCCCTGGGACCGGCCATGGCCGAGCCTCCCGCGGAGCAGTCGCCCCAGGCTGTCCCGTGGGAAGGGCAGGAGCCGAGCCCTGGAGAGCCCGTGCAAAGCGCCGACCGTGCTGAGCCGTCTGATTCCTCCCCAGGCTATGAACGTGGGCATGGCCCCTACCAGCCACATGAGCCAGGCTATGGTCTCTATCAGCCAGGGTACAGTCCCTATGATCATCAGATACCCGAGAGCAAGTCCCGAATGCTGGCAATCCAGAATGCAAAAGCCTATTTGCTGAAGAGCAGCACAACATCTGGCCTGAACTTGTAAGTCTGGAAAAGGGACACAGGTGAAATCGATGGGAAGTATGAGAGAAAAAGTAGAGTTGCCTAAAGTGCAAAGGGTTGTGTTAAGAAAGGGAGGGATAGCAGGGGGATATCTATAAAATGGGAGAATATGTTATAAATGCAGGAGTTCATCACTATGTGATACTTGTACGTGTCCAGCATCTTCCAGATTCAAAATTCCTTGGGGAATTTGTAGAGTTCAAAGGGAAACTGATTTGATCAAGACCAAGTTAAAATTCAGCTTCAGCTCCTGAGACGGGTGCGGTATATGCCAGAAATGGAAGATGGGTCTACTCCTAAGTATGTTAGAACCAGGCTAGTTTCAAATCTAATTTCCCATAATGCTCCATAATCCTCTTTCATCTAAATATTCCAGTGTTTTTTCCAAAGCTCCAGGTGATTATATTCTACTTTGGATATTAAAAATGTAACATTCTAAGACTTGTGTATAGTAGGCCTATAATATTTGCATTTATATGACAGATACGATCATCTTGCTAATATGCTAACAAAGGTCCTGGATGAGCAACCCACAAATGCAGTAGACATAATTGAGAATATCAGCAATGATGTGAAGTGGGCTCAGTTTCAGACAAAAATGGACACTCTTCGAGATGAACATAAGGTTCTTCCAACATTTGAAGCTTCAGAAAACCTTAAAGCTTTGTTCCTCAAGACAAATGGAGAAGGAGAAGAACAACTAGAAGAAGAGATTGTGAGTTATTATCAGAAAAAAACACATATATCTTATATATCAGGGAATGGTTGGGAGGATAGCAGGAAGGGAAAGGACTAAGGGAGGAAGTCGTGGTCTCCTTTGTAGTATTGCCTCTCACAATCATATAAATAATTACAGCCATATAAATAATTACATCCTCTTTAGAGTTGAGTTGGTCCCATGTCTAGTTGTGAAGAAGAAAACCTATCTGGTTACTTAGCCGGGGTTTTTTCCTGCAGTAAATTTAATATCCTGAGACTTTAAAATCATAGATGTTCTAGAGGTGATGAACAGAAAGTAAAGTTTACAATATCTTCCACATGACAGTTCAACATGGAATACTGCATCCAGATTTATTTATATGAAAGTGACATTTCTTTACTTAAAGTCATCATCATTCTGGACACCAATTCAAGAGTATTGTGCACAACTCCTACTGTAAAATAGAGAATGGAGAATTTTGTGATCCTTCCAGCTCCAACTGTAATTCCAGTCTGTGCTTCTCCAACTAAAAAAAATATGGTTATAATGAAGAACTACTAGTGTTGAAAAGCTGCTTCTTAAAAAAAGAGTATTTTTCAGTATCCAGTTGCTAATATGGAGAAGCATTTGTACCCAATGATAAATTAAGATAATTCTTATATTAGCCAAGGGAAACTATTCAACAAGATGTTGATTTTTATATGAAGTTACCAGTGTATATTCAAGTGAATTGCTGTTGCAGAATACAAATACAAAACCAGAAGATAGAGTCTTTCATCTTTTCCATTTTTCTTATTTTACAGTAAGAGAATATTATGGTAAAAATGGAAAAAGTAGGGTATTTCAGAAAGGGATTTTGAATTTTTCATACTCCTGCCTATCTTGCTTTGATATAAGAAAGGTGGAAGAGCCAAAGAAATACCATACAAAACTAGGAGTACTTCTTCCAGATTCCCTACCCTGCCATGTACAACTTCTAGTATCTTTGTGTGTGTGATACAATCACCTACTGCCATGAAATGAGAGAAGGGTGATAAAGTAAATGGAAATACTTAATAAAATCTTCATTCTCGGCCTAGTTCTGCTTCCACTGAAGCTAGATGGAGTCTTACTATGGACTTCAGTAAGAGCAGGGACCAGCATTTTTTAAAAAACGCAGGGAGCTTTATGCCAAGGCTTTCAAAAGAACAACATGCACTCCAGAGAAATACTGCTTTTCTGGTGTCTACATTAAATATGTATTATATTTTCCCCAAATGTATCTTCTGCGAACATAAGGAAACACAATGACACTGTGGGCATAAAGGCCCCTTACATAGTTGATGTGACTCAGCACTGAAGTCCTTTGTACATCCTGTATAAGAATTCTGGCTTTCCTTTATTTTGCATTAATTTGGAGTCTGAATTTTCAATCTTGTATTCTAAAGGCAGCAGTTCATCTGTGTTCTCTTCTTTGCCCTTAAAATGGAATTTTTATTTTTTCTAAATTATAATGGAAGATGTAGAGAATGCATGTCCGCAAAGCAGTTTGAGAGAATAAGTGGCACTACGGGGAAGTGAAATACAATGTTCAGTGGATAATATGCTTAGTTTTTCAAAAAGATGATTATACTATTTTTCAGCTTTAACACCTGTTCTTCTTTCCCAGGAAGAAACCCCTCTACCTAATGTGATGGAAACAGCCTTTTATTTTGAACAGGCTGGAATTGGCTTGAGCAAAGGTGAAACCTATCACATATTCCTTGCCCTTAAAAAACTAATTAGTGTTCAACCAATCCAGACCTGTCGTTTCTGGGGCAAAATTTTAGGCCTGGAGAGCAACTATATTATAGCTCAAGTACAGTACCAAGAGGGGGAAGAGGAGGAGGAAGCAGAAGAGGAAGAAGTTGCTGAGGAAACAGGGGAAGAGGTGGGTGAGGTTGAAGACAAAGATGAGGAGAAAGAAGATGAACCACCAAAGTCCACCTATAAGCCTCCACCTGTCATCCCAAAAGAAGAAAATGGGACTGGGACTAATAAATATGTCTACTTTGTCTGTAATGAGCCAGGCAAACCCTGGGTGAAGTTGCCTCCAGTGACACCAGCCCAGATTGTCTGTGCCAGGAGAATCAAGAAGTTCTTCACTGGTAGGCTGGATGCTCCTATTGTGAGCTTTCCTCCTTTCCCTGGAAATGAGGCCAATTACCTGCGTGCACAGATAGCTCGGATCTCAGCGGGAACCCAGATCTCTCCCATTGGATTTTACCAGTTTCCAGAGGAAGAAGGAGATGAAGAGGAGGAGGAGGAAGGAGGAAGAGATACATATGAAGAAAACCCTGATTTTGAGCCTCTTTCTGTGGCTGAATTGGTGGATTCTGGCTCCTCGTGGGTACACCATGTACAGAGTATTCTTGAGCAGGTATGTTCTGGCATAGCTCATGTGGGCCTGGAATACCATGCACATGGGAGTACTTGCAGGGTTTCAGAATGTAACTGAAACTCCTCACCTGCACATTTGAACTAATCACCAGAAATCGTAGTGTACTATTTTTCTACAGAAAATATATTTGATATGTTGCACATATTTACGTATAGCTTTTTTTCTGTAGTTGTAGCAGTAGGTTTTTCAGTGATGATAACAGTATGGAGTTAAGCCTTGATAATAATTTCTTTCAATCTACTATACCGGGTTTTCTCTTTTGAAGTCCATACTTTACAAAAATGTTATGAGTTCATTTTTCTTGGGTAGGATGCTAAAATGCAGACAGCTTCTGACTGTGTGCTAAATGGAACTTATTAGATGTTTTCTTCTGCTTTATTCTTTGTTGCTTGCTTTCTTCAGTGAAACATGCAAATAGAAAAGTTTAAAACCAAACATTGTAAATAAAATTGTAACATAAAATATTTGTGATATCAGGCTAGTGCTTTAAAGAGTTACTGCTAATTTTATGGTCATTGTTGGATGACTTGCTGGCCAGTCTACCAATTCAAGAATGCTAGTGTAAAATAACAGCAAATGGTAGGAAATAAGGTTTAAAACTATTATGAGCAAAACAATCGTTGTAAAAATAAAATCTGTATGCATTAGAATCTTAACAATATTTTGTTATGTGCCTCTGACGGGTAGCTAAATAACAAGGCAGACTTTAAGAGGAAGGAGCAAAGTCCATAGATGGTAGCCTCTTAAAATGGTTACCTAGGAAGGGTACAAACTGAATGGGCAAGGAACTGAAGACTACAAAATAACAAAAACCTGATTACAGAGGTAAGAGGTTATTCTGAAATAGCAAGCAGGGATGAAGGAGGAATGTATTCTGCCAACAATATACCAATTATGGAATACATATTCATCTTGTCTTCCTCCTCCCTCCCCCCTTACCTGTGTGTGCCATGTGCCTGAGACAATTGTTTTAACTTGTATGCTTTCATTGACTATTATGTGTATGTATTATTTTCTCATATCAATTATAGGGTCGCTGTGTTTGGTTTGATCCTTTTCAAAAATCAGAGGAAGAAGGAGAAGAAGAAGAAGAAGAGGAAGAGGATGAGAAAGCAGATGAGCCGGATGAACTACAGCAAGAAATAGGACCTCCTCTTCTCACTCCACTCTCTGAAGATGAAGGTATTCTTCGTGGAGTATGAGTTTTTGATAGCCACTAGGAATGTTGATGTGTAGGTAGTAAATAATTGAAGTTATAAGACTCTGACATTTAATGGGGCAATATAATTTGGCCTTGTAGGGTAAGCGCATTCTTATACAAAAGTGATTAAAAGCAAAATTTTTAATGGTGTTGACATTAAAACTGAAATAAATTGGTTTACTAGTTAACAGTCTTGTGGAGAATAAAGGGGAAAATACCTCAGATTTGTCAAGCTACTCCAAGTTCAAGACAGCTCACTTAATTAAATACCTTCAGCTATTTTTCATCACCTTTTTAGATAAAAAAAAAAAAAGTGTGTGCACATGTAAATAAATACATATGTATGTACACACATGCAGAGATAATCAGATAGGGATTTAGATCCTGTAGCATATTACTGCAGCAAATCATGGGTATATGGGAACCTGAATATTAGATTACATCAATAGTAAATTATTTTTCAACTCTCCATTCTTTGATCAAGATGAAATATAACTATGTAATTTATCCGTAAGTGATAAAAAGTCCTCACAAAAGAAACAGCAGTGAGTACTACTAAGTTTCAGGAACATGATCTTCTCTCCAGGTGGCTCTGATAGCATCCCTGTGCTGCTCACCCATCCATCCCAACTGCCTGCTTGAACACAGTGCCTACATTTATTGTTTCTGACTTGCGGTTCTTCTAGTTTGCAACATATTATAATAATTGCGTGAATTCTGTGAAAGTCTTGTAGGTCCATGTTAAATATTTTGCAGATGCTCACAAATGTATTTATAGGCTGTGTGTGTTTGGCTGCCTCCAGGATTTCCAAACATCCCTGCATGGACAGCTCAGCCTTCTACAAACCTGATCCCGCAATATGCTGTTGCAATCCTCCAGTCTAACCGATGGCCAGGAGCATACGCCTTTGCCTCTGGCAAGTGAGTAGCTAATTGATATGGTTGCATCACAGACCGTATATGCTCAACACAGATACCTGCCTAATGAAGTAAAAGTGGTTTTATTATTAATTCATTCTACTTATTCATTAATATTAGCTATTCTGGAGGCTGACAGAGAAGGCCACTTAAATGTGCACGGCAACAATTAGTATGTATTTAAGACTGAAAATGAATAATTGTTGGAAAGGCTAGCATAAAGTTGATGGATGTAAATGCTCAGTTAGTATGTGGGCACACCCTGGGTTAAAAACCTGTATTACCGAGTTTGTAGCGCTTTTTACAAAAATAGCTACATTCTATAGTTCTAATGTTCATTCGCTCCAACTACACGTGGTACAGTCATTACCTTAATGAGCTTTTAAATAAGCACTGGAGCTGGTGTCAGAAACTGAGCTTTCTTACTAATGTGGAGTTGTATTGCAGTGACAGAGTACAGCCTTAATCATTTTAGCGTTTGGAGATTTTTAAGTGGAAGACAGATTAATCAACAGTTACATCAGTTAAAAATGTGTGCTGTCTTTTGAATGTTTCTGTTTTGGGACATCTGCACCACAGTGACTTTGCATGGCAAAGTAAGGAACCCTGACAATATCTTCCACTGATGTTTTCTCAGGGGAAGAATGTGTGATATTTCACTTTTCTTTCTCAGGAAATTTGATAACATTTACTTTGGCTGGGGTCACAAATACAGTCCAGAGAACCACAATCCCACTCTGCCTCCCCCAGTGCAAGCAGAATATCCCAGCGGGCCAGATACCACTGAGGCAAGCGACCCCACCCTGGAAGAGGAAAGGGCTTTCAACGCTGCGAAGGAAGAAGCCTTAGCTGCAGCTGAGGAAGAGGAAGAAGAGGCTGAAGAAGAGGAAGAGGACGAGGATGATTAAAATGAGGGGATGACAACTACACCATTTTTATTTTACAAATGTAAACATGAATAATATTTTCATAAATGAGCCATTAGTTAGTTGATCTTAAGAGCATGCCTTCTTTTTTGCTTTCTGCAGGCTCTTCTTGCATTATCCTCCGCCTCCTCCTGTCCCCCAGGCCCACCCGTGCTGGCGCGAAGGCGGCATCGTCTCTCCCGGGAGACACAACTGTAAGGGAGCCTTTTTTTTAGAAGGGTAGACAAACATGGTCTGTTGTTTGCTAAACTCACACTGTTTGAGCCACCCACCACACATTCAACTTGTTTTTCTAACCCGTATTTCAATACCGGTATAAATATGACTTTTAAAAAAATAAATAAACCTAATTACTTAAGAATTTCGCTGTTAGGTGTGTAAGCGTACTGTTCACATGCAGCAGACAGCTCACTAGGCTACCGGCTGGGTGCACCGTGAAGATGCTGTCACGCTGGCCGGCACCCCCGCAGGGCTCTGGGCAGACGAGCTGTGCGGCGGGGCAGCCCCAGCGCAGCTCCGCCCCACAGCCTTCCCTGCGCTTCCCCTGCCCCCGGGACTGCGCGGCGGGGCAGCCTCAGCGCGGCTCCGCCCCCGGCCCCTCCTCGCGCCTCTCCCCCGCAGCCGTTGGCGCCTGTACGCGCCGCCGCGGCGTCCGCCCTGCGCGGGCCAATGGGAAGCGGCCCCGGGAAAGTTTAAACCCGGCGGCGGTTAGGGGGCCGCGCTGCTTCCTGCGGCCCGAGGAACAGGCCCGCGTCTCCCCGCCCGGGCGGCGTGTGCGCCACGGCCGCGGGGATGGCGGAGGAGGGCGCCGTGACCGTTTGCGTGCGGGTGCGGCCGCTCATCGCCAGGTGAGGCTCCGTCCGGGCCGGAGCGGGGGCTGCAGCGCTACCCGCGGGTCTCCCGGCTTTGCTGGGTGTTGCTGTGCCCCTCTCAGCGCCGGCTGGGCCCCAGGGGCGCGGGCACAGTCCTGCCAAGGGTGGGTGTGGGGGCCTAAGTTGCGGCGTCTGTTCCCGAGGCGGAACAAACAGGCCTGGGCAGTCTGAGGGAGAGAGGTGCTCGTAGTGAGGGGTAAACCTGCGTGGGGCGGAGTGAAGCTGACATAGTATCTCTTTTTTAGAGAAAATGTTCTGGAAGATAAAGTGTCACTCTACTGGAGAAGCGAAAATAATACCATTTCCGAAGTGAATGGTACAAAAGTGTTCAGTTACGGTAAGAATATGAAAGCAGTTGTTTTATGTTGATGCTTACATGGATCTTGGCTGCTGAACTTGCTCGAACGTGCGCTGACATTGTCATGAGAGTGTGTCCGTCGGGTGTGCAAGGAGCCCACCCACCCGCAGAGCGGAGGTGTTTGCTCCAATACCCAGTTCTGCACAGAACAGGGAGTAGGGTGGTATCCCATGAGCAGGCTCGGTCTCCCAAAATGCAAGTGCTACTTTCGTACCTGAAAACGTGAGGAAGAGCTTTATTTCTAACATTATTCTTTCATTCACACATGATAAGTCAACTAATTCCTCTCTTCCATTTAAAGTGATAGTGCTCAAACATTTCACTACGCACTCTCAAAGAGTAAGGGGCTTGTTAGTAGGGGTGCCTCTAGCCTGTGGGTGGGTACTTCAGCATGCTAATAGCTCATTAATATATTAATACAGTGATTTAAATCACTCTGATTTTCCCCCAAGTGCTCAAGGCTGTATCTAAAATAAGCTGTGGCGTGGGCTCTCCATGCCCTTTATCTGTCCAGCAGGTGTCCTGCAGGCCTGTCTCAAGGCTAGGCTGTTGACTGCTTGGGCTGTGATTTTCTCTAATTGGAATCTGGTTTTGTTTAATTCTTACTATTTCACTGTTACCTAGGCCCTGTTTTTATTCTGCTTGTCCCTTGCTTTCTCTTTTATGTGATTTGTCCCCAAATGTGATTTTCACCCTTCCCCATTTTACTTATTTCAATTAACTTACATCGCTAGCATCAACAATGACCTTAAGTTTTTGCAACATCCCTGAATTTTTTTTTCCAACAACATAACTTTGAAGGAGTGTTTTTGGGGTACCTGGGGTTTTGGTCATTACTGGGAATGCACTTTTGAAGTCAGCTGCCTGGTGGACATTGCTTTCTCCATTCTAGTACATGCTATAGAGTGGTTTTGGAACACACAGGCTGAATTTCTTTTCTAGGCCTAGTCCAGTGCTTTAGGGAGATGGGGTGGGGGAACACAAAACTGAAAAGTTCCTAGTGTGGATGTTACAACCTCATCCTTGCTTTGTCTCTTCCTACGGATCCACTCGCTCGTTAATCTGCATGTAGCTACCACAAAGATTTCTCCCAAATTATAGATTGAATAAAATCATGGTCCAAGCTAGAAGTTCAGCAAGTGTCCTGTCTTGTCAGATTTACAGTCCTCATAGATAAACTAAGATTAAATGGGATGACTGTTTAACTCTGTCAGTGATTCTTAGTTGTTTTTTTTTACGTGTCTGTTGTCTGTTCATTGTATCTTTCTTGGTTCTGGGTTTAGTATTTCTTTTGCAAAAAAAATTAAATAATTAATTAAAAATGCCTATATTAGTAGTGTCACAATAACATTCTATATTTGAATTATCCTACAAATAATCTGCTGCCCATTTATTTGATTTGAAGTCAGCAATACTGAGTTGTACAAAACCAGCTTGTTTTTGATGTGCAATACAATGGATTGACGTGCTGTATTTTGATTTTTTTAAGATCGTGTCTTTCACTCAAGTGACAATACTCACCAGTTATATGAAGGTGTAGCTGTTCCAATTATAGAGTCAGCTGTGCAAGGCTATAATGGTAAGTTTTAAAACTGTGTTTAAATCTTGTTTATAATGTATTTCATAAGTAATTAGCAAACTTTAACTATCTTTCTAGGCACAATTTTTGCTTATGGACAGACTGCTTCAGGGAAGACATACACAATGATGGGAAATGAAGATTCTGTGGGCATCATTCCTAAAGCAATTCAACATGTTTTCAAAGTTATTTGTGAGGTGAGCAATTCCATAACATTGAAGTGACTGAAAGGACTAGAAATATTTATGACTGTTACATAAAAATTATGCATAGTATCAAGGAGCTTATGAAGGAAATTAGTTTATATTGGGCATATGTTGTAGTTGCTTTGCTAGCCTTGCAAATATGAGCAGTTTAAAAAAAGGTAATGAAACTCTTAGTTCGACTCAAATCAGAACAAAACTGAGAAGTGATTTTTAAATTTGCAAATACACTGAACCTTGATTATATGTATAATAGATACTTACTCACTAACGTGGTCCATAATGTATCATGAAGCTTTGTGTTCTGCTCTTTTAGTACTTTAAAAATGTAACGGTATTGAAAACCTCTTTAGTGAGAAGAATAACACTAAATGACAGAATGACACTAAATTTACTTACTTTAGGCTTTCAAAAGAGTCATAGGCTAATTTCTCAATGCTAATAGGAAATAAGGAGAAGGCATAAGTTATAAAAGTGATTTCCAAAACATCATGTGCAGAGCACTTGCTTCTGCCTTGAGGATTTTGGGTAATTGTCATCAGTTACATGGGAAGCACACTGCTCCTTTGAGAAGGTGCGGAGTACCTTAGGAGGTCTCCAAAAGAAACTAAAGACAAGAAAGCTTTCCAATGGTGCTGTAGTCCTTGAATCCATTCTGCAGCCTCTACTCACTCCATCCTTCCCTACCAGGAAGGCAGGACAAGAAGCAGCAGCAAAGCAAATCTAAGCAAGTGGAGAGAAGGCTTAGGTACACACAGAAGAAAAGGCCTAAGCAGGAGGAAATTAGAAATTGAAAAGTCATTTAAATGGGAGGACTATTGTGATGCTTTTGTAAGGCAGTTGTTTTTTTTAAAACCTACTGAAAGTGCTATACCATTAATGTAGCTGCAAAGTGCTGCCATAGAGGAAAAATGATTCTTTACTGATAGGTGCTCATGTGTGAATAGGATGGGAGAGTAAGAAATCTGTGGAATGATCTCTGAACATATACCTTTGATTCAGAATATTTGCATTTAAAAGTGTTCACTGATTAGTCTGGTATTTGTTTTCTTTTTTTTCTGAACATTAGATTCCAGATAGAGAATTCTTGCTAAGGGTTTCTTACATGGAAATCTACAATGAAACCATTACAGATTTGCTTGGTGATATGAGGAAAAAGAAGCCTCTGGGAATTCGTGAGGATGTTAATGTAAGTGTATGTTACATGGTGTCAGTATTGTATCTGCTTGGAGTAAAAGGAGATGTGTAAAAAAAAAAAACAACAACTTTCTGAGGCATGTAGTTGAAAGCTCTGCTATGTCAAATTGTGTAATTGTAATCTTCAGTATTAGCATAAGGACAATTGATTCAGTATAGTAACAACTGTGAAGTTGGGCTTGCTGTTGCTGGTTTTAATACTTTGTAAATGTATACTTAATCCCTTAAGTTTTCCAGGATAGTATATTTTATTTAACTTTGGCATTGGGAGTAGTCTAACTAATGAAACTTCTACAAACATGACATTAAGTCTCTATGTTAAAGCATCAGAAGTTATCAACAGAGAGCTACTTTAATACCATCTTCATGTCATCTACAAAGTACATATACTTTTCTACTGTAATAAAAAAATAACCTGCAGACTAGAACTATCCAGTCAGATGATCAGTAGGGGAAAATAAATCTTTATTAATACATCTTCAGGTTCTTGATACCAAGTTTTGTAGCAAATAATAAAAGCTTGTGGGTTGTTTTTTTTCTTTCAATGCCCTCAATGAACAATGCTTTTAGAACAATGGAAGAATGAAGATTTATCAGTTGTGTGATTATGGCCTTATAACATTTACTGACTGAAATATATACTCCAGGATTCCCTCAGAATACGTCCAGAAGGACATTTCCCTCGACAGTTTTCTTTTTAGAAATCTTTCTAAGTCTGTTTGGTTCTTGTGCCATTAGGTAACAGTTCAGATAAAGGTCTCAACTTCCCTGTT